TACCATCTTGGAACCCGCTTTTGTGACCTCACCAATCACTAGGCATATTGGCCGGAGGTGTTATCACCTAGGCATCTGAGATCCTTAATCTTGCACCTAGTGATCTTGTTTCTGGCACTGAATGACCTAGACCGAGGTGTGGCACATCTAGCCGAGGTGTGGCACAGCTAGGTCAAGTGTTATCCTTCCTAGCCGAGGTCAATTGGAACCTTACTTGCCGAAGCTTTGTCCAAGCCGAGATCATTACTTGCCGGAGTTCCCTTGCCATCTAGCTTGTTGAGTACGGCCTTGTCAGGGGCCTTGTCTTGTCAATCTATCACCTTTTTTGAAGAGAACCAACCACCGTGCACCGTGTCCGAGCTGAGAGTTAAGTCAGCCGCAGAGAGAGAAACCCCTCATTTGTTGTATTCTTGTTTTGAAGAGTAGAGAGAGAAGCTCTAGAAGAGGGAGAAGAGTTCTTGAGAGAGAGTGGATTTCCAAGCTTGATTCTTTGAGATCGAACCGTTAGATCCGTGTTCTAAGGTTAGATTCTTGATGCCGCTCTTGTTGTTCTATATGTTTATGATATGCATTGCATGATTGAATATGATTTGTAAGCCATGCATTGCTTTGAAGTTCGGTTTTAGAAAGAGAAAATGGTTTTCATGTGTTCTTCCAAGAAAAGTCATGTTTTGACCGAAAAGCTCATGCCAAGATCCATGTTTTGTGTTTGTTCCACATGATTTCAAGTATGGGTACCCAGGTCTCATGTTTTCGAACTCATGTCATGAAATCCCAGATCTGCGTAATAACAAGTTATGATTTTAGCATTCATTGTTCTTCATGTTCTTCATGCTCATGTTCTTCATGTTCTTCAAGGAGAAACCCAGATTTTCCAGGCTTCATTTCCCTAGGTGTGATCACCGAGACCACTCTTGCCTAGATCACACACCTTTGGTCTACTTGCATGATCACTTGCATGTTAGTTTATCTTGCATGCCACACCTAGGCTAACCACTGCACACCTAGGGCAACCATGGTACACCCATGCCGGCACCTTGTAAAACACCTCGCAGACAGCTGCATACTGAAGCCTAGGAACCACACCTCGGCCAAGAGGTGTGGGACCTCGGGCCAACACCTCCTGAGTTCACCCAGCTAGGTCGTTTTAGCCTAGATCATCTTCTGTGCATCCATTCCAGGACCTGGTTGGTACCCAGCATGTTTCCCTAGATGTTTCCAGCATATTTTCCCTAGATGTTTTCAGCATGTTTTCCCTAGAATGTTTCCAGCATGTTTTCCCTAGATGTTTCCAGCATTTTTTCCCTAGATGTTTTCAGCATGTTTTCCCTAGATGTTTCCAGCATGTTTTCCCTAGATGTTTTCCAGCATGTTTTTCCTAGATCATTTGCATTCATGTGAAGCTTGTTTTTAGAGTGCATTCAATAGACTTTGGCCACGTGTTTGTAGGACTTGGACCTTTGCCTCGATCCCGACGTCCCAAGAACTAGGGGAGTGGTATTTTCTAATAAAGATATGTTCTTAAGGTTTTGATAAAGCTTTGCCTTGGTTTGATAAAAGTATTTGTAAGCATGAATGATATCCCTATTATATATATCAAGTATAAGCTTTGTTTTGAATGACAAGTTATCAAGTATAAGCTTTGTTTTAATGTCAATCTTTGAAAGTCCGTACGTGCCAGGGGACTTTAAGCATTAGTGGCACAAGTCCGTACGTACTAGGGGACTTAAGCATTAGTAGCACACATGTGAAGTCCGTACGTGCCAGGGACTTTAAGCATTAGTGGCACAAGTCCGTACGTGCTAGGGACTTTAAAGCATTATAGCACACATGTGAAGTCCGTACGTGCCAGGGGACTTTAAGCATTAGTGGCACAAGTCCGTACGTGCTAGGGGACTTTAAGCATTAGTAGCACACATGTGAAGTCCGTACGTGCCAGGGACTTTAAGCATTAGTGGCAACAAGTCCGTATGTGCTAGGGGACTTTAAGCATTAGTAGGCACACATGTTAAGCAAGCAAGTTTTGAAGGACCAAGGTTATGCCGAGGTTATGTTATAAGTTTTGACGCATGTTAAGTATGTAAGTTTTGCAAGATTAAGTTTGATGAACAAAGATTTATTCTCATTTTTGTACAAGCTATGATAGGTATGGTTTTGACAAGATATATTATGTATTGTTTTGAAAGACCTCGGGAATCATTCATGTAACCCTTTATTACTTGTACCATTCCACTCAGTATCCAAGCTCACCCTCCCTATGTATATATGTAGGTAACAAGCAAGAAGTCGGCTACGCCGAGATGTGTGTTTTGCAAGATGTTTTGGATGCATGTTATGTTGGCAATGTTATGTCGGCAATCCGAAGATTATATTTCTTAACTTGCATTTCATGTATAGCCGAGATGTGTGTTTTGCAAGATGTTTTGGATGCATGTTATGTCGGCAATGTTTATGTCGGCAATCCGAAGATTATATTTCTTAACTGCATTTCATGATATTTTGTTTATGTCGGCTTGTGAAAGCCCTTTGTAAGATGTAATATGTATTTTTTGTACTTGGCTTTAATTTGTGTTCAAGTTGTAAAGCTCTGTAAAGATGTATGCCATTCCATTGTGACTTATGCACTACTCTTATGGACCACTTGTATTTTAGATTATTGTTTCCGCACTTGTGAGCCCCCTATATCTATACTCTGATTATGTGTGAATTTTGAAAGTTGGCCTTCGGTAATTACGGATTACTGGCGATCACGGCACCAAACTACTAGGGGCGGTTTGGGGTCGTGACAGCTGGTCATCAAGTCAAATGGTAGTAATGGGCTTCTAACATGCTGCATCTGTCCTAGCAGCATTTTCTGTCCTGGTGATAAATTGCTTGTTCCATCATTGGTATCTGCTGCGAGGGCAGGGAAATCAAAGGTAACCAAGTTTTTTGTCCATTTAATTTCTCATGTTGTGACTGCCTTACATATTGGTTTTATAATGTTCTAGAAATTCATGTGTTTCATTCAATATCAAGTTGGTGGATAGCTAGGTTCTTAATCATTTGAAGCCATACAAGTGCATAACAAACTCACACATCCTTACAAGTACAATTGACAAGGCCGAAAAGAAAAGATGGACACCATATACACTAAGGTAAATTACAAAATCATTAAAACTGGAAGCTAATAATTTTTTTTTCCCGGAAGTATATTAAGAAAGCATCAAGAGGGGATGCCACCCAATTCCCAATTCATGGAAAGGAATCTGCCAAAATGGGGTTGCTTTCCAACCATCTCATTGTAATAGGTGTTTTACTAAAGCAACTTCTATTTATATAATTTTCCTTATATATAATATAGATAATTTGAATGTTCAATCCACCAAAGTCCAAATTAAAAGAGGACGATCTCATCATAGTGGAATGCACATGATTCAGAATTTTTTTTTTTACTAGTGCTATGTACTCATATTTTTATTTTTAAAAAGTTTGTAAAATTTTAATATATAGCATAGATTTAAATTTGTATAGTGTAACTCACACATAATAAATTCAATTCACATATGATGTTTTTCTAGGAAATTAATTGGAGCTCGATACTACCTAAAGGGATATGAGGTAGTATATATAGCATAGATTTAAAAATCTTTCTCAATTACCAACAACCAAAACAAAACACTCATGTCAATTTCAAGCCTATAGCTATGGCACCAAACCTTGAAAACAGAACATAACATTTAAAGGTCGAAATTGAAGTGTATAGCTAACCTGTGGGGCAAAATCAACACCAGCTGATATGGCGAGCCTGGTTTCTTTCAGCAGTGTGTTCCAATCTCATTGTATCTTGGCCTCAGTACACTTACTCAGATGAACCTGAAGGTTTTTAGCTTTAGTCAAGACATCAGGGTCTGATTCAGCACCAGCTTGTTTATAGTGATACATTGCCTTTTCTGCTTCTCCTAATCTGCAATCACAAATATATATATTACAACAACAATAGTAATGCCCAATTAAGCATAATGTACATCACTAAATGACAATTGAAGATCTGAAAACTAAAAGATGATTAAAAAAAAAAACTAGTTACGTTGGGACATACAGCTCTGGTGTTACTGGTTTTAGTTGTAGTAATTAGAAAGCAATGATTTCTCAGAGCTCAAAAACATTTATGGGTACCAAAAACCAATATTCAATGGGAAAATTTATCGAACAGTTAAACTGCAACCATGCACACATCAACACTTACATTACACTGTGACAGCTCAAAGGTGGGGATTAAAGATTTTTTGTTTTTACCAAATACATGTTTTTGAAATAAAATTCCCATATTCAAACAGTCAAATTTATTTCCTAAAGTGGTGTTTAATTTTGCTGTAATCGGTTAAAAAAAAAAAGAACAGAAAAGAAAAAAATAATTTCTTTTCTAAGTAGCAATAAACCTCTCATAGCCTATGGGGCTGGGACAAATAGAAAACTTGTAATGCCTAGTCTATATATTTAAAAATAAAATAAGATTCTCTCAAGGACAGAGAAACTAGGTGCTCACTCCCGAAGATGGCAAGCTCACAAGTGATACACAACAAATCACAGCCCATTAGGGCAGCACACTGAAGCTTGTGAAGCCTAAGACAGACAGACGTTTGCAACATGAGAACAAGCTTCAAAAAAAACAAAAAATAAATCATAGAAGGGCATCACCCACCATTGTTCCCTGTTGATCGATGGTGGGTATTGAACAGGGAGTTGTATCTAGACCTACCCTTCGACATTATTTCCACAAAATGGCAGCTCTTAGGTTCAAAGTCACAACCTCATGCTTGGGAAACCCAGCTTTTACCATTGCACCAAGCAATGCCTTTATAAAAAAAACTATTTCCATCCATGTTTCTACCAAATAGACTTCACCAATTGTTCACAATAAGCTTGTTAACTCTTACCATTTTAAAATAATCATGTTTGAAGGAACAATTGAATTCAACTACAAACTACAAAGACTATTAAATCATTTACACTCCATCTTTGACAAAACTAAAAAACGTATCAAGTCCCAGAACCATTCCTTGCTTGTTTAATTGCAGTATTTTTTTGCCTAATGTAGATGATCCTCACCAAGGAAGAGATTAACGTACAAATAAATCCCAAGATGAACCAAACAACCAAAAAAAAAATCCAACAGTAGTATATCATGAAGCAGGAAAAGTAGAGCATGCAATCTGAAAGTAAAAAGAAAATAAAGATAATGTGTTAATTTTCATCGCAACACAACGTGAAGTTTAACAAAGCAAAATGCAAAAAATTTATGAATATAGAATACATACCAGTGTGAATATTGTATGACTACGGCTACTCAACAAATTAAAATTATTCGAACCAACATGACGATGTTCTGCATATTTAAAAAATAAATAAAAAATAAATAAAAATAATCAACTTAGTGACAAGAACGCAACCAAAAATTATACAAAGTGGGGTAGGGAAGATGCAAACAACAAATTACAGTGAATACCTTCCCCAGCAGCAATAAAAGAAAGTACATGCCCGGGAGACAAAACAACTTCTTCCTTTATTCCCTCAACATAAGTACCCTGCAAAGATATTGCCAGAACAGATAAGACCAACAAACAGAAATCACATATTTTACAAATTTTTAGAAAATATATATATATTCAGAAGTTCAAAGGTTCACAGTCCAGGACCTGAACTGCTTCAATTTATTCCTAAAGTGGTGTTTAATTTTGCTGTAATCGGTTAAAAAAAAAAAGAACAGAAAAGAAAAAAATAATTGCCAGTTTTATTCAGTATTCCTGAACTAAATGGAAAAAAGAACAGAAAAGAAAAAAATAATTTCTGAATCTGGTTATAGTATTTTTTTGGCTCTAAAAAATGGAAAAAAAAGATAAAAATACATTTTTTTGCTCTCATTTTATAACATTTTCACAATAAACAAACTGAGATTCAAGTCTCACTTGAGGAAAAACAAGACGTTTATGATCAATCTGATCACATAAGGAGCTAAACAAGCTTTCAGATCAAGATAGAGATTGAAAATAGATAGAAACATTTCATATGAAAAGACCCTTTTGCTACTATATAATTTGCTGACCACTTGATCAGCCGTCGCAAATAAACCAATGTTATCCTCTTTTACCCGATTTCCTTCCTTATATTTGCCCTAGTTTTAGAAAATTAAAACACGGATTTTCTCTCTCTCTCTCTCTCTCTCGCATTACAGACATGCATAGCTCTGCTCTCTCGCTCTTCCGCTCGCCATTGTCTCTGAAGATCTCCATCGGTATGAATCGCTCTTTCAATCTCGCTCTCTTCTCTGTCCCTCAATCTCCCTAACTCTATCTCTACTCTCTCTGTCTCGCTGTCTCTCTCTCTCTCTTCATTTTTCTTGAGTTCTCAAGCTGTAAATATACTTGTCAATTTGTTGAATTTCAGGTGATTTCATTGCAAATTAGGTGATTTCATCGGTGTCTTGTGATAAATAGTAATTTGCAATCCTCAACCTCCTCTTATCGCCTCTGCTTCTCTCTATCTGACTTAGGAAATCTAGGTTTTTCCAATTATTTGCAATTCTTTTCTCA